ATATATATATGTGTATATGTATATATATATATGTGTATATGTATATATACTGTATATATATATATGTATATGTATGTATACATGTATATGTATGTATACGTATATATATGTAAACATATACACATATATACATATTCACACACATATACATATATATATATATGTATATACACACACACATCTATATATCTATATACATCTGTATCTATATATAAATAAATAATGACAATGCATATTTCCAATATCGTGTCACAGGCACTTTCATGCTTCATCTTAACTCGGGGTAACTTGGGATTGTTTCCCAGCTGATATCAGCTGTTGTGAAGCTGTAAATCCTGAGTATCACAGAGCGGTGAGTTGATTTAAAGTATCTGCTTTAACTCAGGGTTTAAGCTGCTTTCTGAAACACAGGTGATAAAAACCAAAAAGACAGCGTTCAGTTTTTGAAGGCATCTTTTAATTATTTCTTTATTGGCAAATGCTTATTTTGCAGCGATGCATCTATTTACACTCATTCATGACAGCAACACATCAGAAAGCCTAAAACAAACGTGATTATATGTTTATTCACACAGGTTTACACAAAAACACTTGGGTTCAGCTTTTGGTTTTGGGGGAAAAACACCTAAAAAGACTTGTTTTCTAAATTGAAACAATACATTTTTATTTATAGCATAAAATCAATATACATTTATATATAAAAAAAAGTGAGAACATGCTAGATTTGTAGTGCAGAGCAACCTTTTGTCTATAAATTGTGTTTAAAGAAGGCAAACAAACAGGGAGGGGAACGTGATGGTTGTTGCAGAGGATACGCTCATTTCTAAAACTTTATTTTGAATTAATGTGCAAAACAAGCTCATTCAGTTCCTACATTAAACACATGTACCGCTGGGCCAGGAGGGGGCGCCACCCTCACACCCAGCTCGGGTTCAAACAGAACCGGGTCGTTTCAACGTCAGTTTGTGGTTCAGTTTGTACCGGGTGGACATGCGGACCCCCCCTCCTGCAACCAGAACCGTTCGTTTATTCAACTCTGAGAATTACAACCGTCCCAAACTGGCCGTGAAAGCAGCACGAGGCGTCCAGCTGTCCAAACCCTACCGGACAGAACCGACTCACCTGATTGGCTGTTTTAAAACTGAGCAGTTGTGCTTACAGGTGTGGGGGGAGGGGGTGAAACGATGAAGATGATGCGATATGATGAAGTCAGATGTGAATATTGCACATTTAAAACTACAGAAGAGGATGGACAGTGGAGACGGATGATGTCAAACTAAACTACGTCTGAAGATTTAAGAGAAAAATAAAAATACGTCTGAAATGTTAAAACGTCAGGATTGTTCAGACAGACTGACTGCTCCCACGTTCAGCCGTTTAGTGTTTAGGATGTGAACCAACGAATCAGTTTTACAAGCTCTAAGGTGATTGGTTGGTTCGAGTCCTTTCAAAATAAGAGAATTGGTGCGGGAACCAACGGAGAGAATAAAACCACACAGGAAGTCCTCCGGTGTCTGCAACTCGTGATACCTGAAGGTTTCCTGTGTGGCCCCGCCTCCCTACCGCCCGAAGATGCCCCGCCCCCTCCTCCTCCTCCCTAGCAGCCGAAGGTCTCCTGCGAGGCGTAGACCATGTAGAGGAAGCCGTCCTCGTCCCGCTCCTGCTCGTAGATCTCAGAGATGGGGGTGGACACGGACACCATGCTGTGCTGGTTGACCAGCAGGAAGAAGGCCTGTGTGGGGTTCAGCTGCAGGCGGCGCCTGCAGGACAGGAGCATCATGGGAAACAAAACAAACAAACACTGTGGTTCTGATCAGCTCATTGGTTGTTTACCTGATGATCTTCACCAGCTCGCTCATGTTGACGTGATCCGGCACCAAGAACTTGGTTTTATCCAGAACCGGCAGCTGCTTCTCGCCCTTGTACCTCTCAATGATCACCTGCAGAGCAGCACACACCTGAGCACACTGACCACACCCACAACACGGCTCTGCTGAGCCGGAGCAGGGTCACATGTGGGTACTTACAGGGATCTTGTTAGGGTGCTGCTCTCGGATCTGCTGGACCTCTTTGCACCGGTCAGCTGTGGGTGAAAACAAAAACCCAGTCAGGCATCCTGACCGGTTCTGACAACTGGATCCACGAATCCAAACCATCAAACCTGCTTTCTTTATAAACAATAAAACAAGACCTGGACCACCGGCTGATCCCACCACAGCATGTGTCAAACTCAAGGCCTGTGGGCCAAATGTGGCCCATGAGAACTTCAAGGATACTAATGTTGCTTTAAAACCTGTTAACATTCAGCAGAACGCCCGCGTGCCGTTTTAGTTTTGTTTTATTTTGAAAGGCCGTTCTGTGTTTCTCTTCAACCTGTGTCCATGTTCAACTCATCAAAATGGACGTCTAGGCCCTCCTCTTCGATTGACACCTCATTTGACCAACTGGGTTCAAGTTTCGACGGTCCAGGGCCAATAAAATATGATATTTAATCATGATGTGAGTAAATATGGATGGTCGAATGTGTTTTGTGGGGTTTTATCTTTAATCTGAGCCCAGAGTGAAGTCCCTGTGTTGAAACATTTATAAATTACAGTGTTTTAGACAAAGTGTACAGTCTGGACATACTGTACATGTGTACAAATATACAAATGAGACATGCTGGATTGTACTATGTCTCAAACATTCATATTTTATTTATGCCACTGTTACCAAATTTGAACTGGTGATACTTGAGAATTGATATTTTAGCCCAGTAAAATTTGTTTGATAATATCTCATTCCCTTCATATTCTGTGATACTTTATTAATAAAAAATAAAAATTTAGGGAGAAAAATCTTGATTTTTGTGTATTTTACTTCATTATACTAAATACTAGTTACAGTTACAAAGAATATGACTGCTGAAGTTAAAAATTCAGATTATTAGCTTTAAAAAGAGACCAAGCTTGTGAATTTACTCTAAAGGGTTCAAAAGCAGTTCTTCATTTAATTTGCGTGTACTTTTTAAGGCGTTTTATGGTATTTTATGCCTGAAGGTTAACAGGTTTTAAAGCCAGCATTGAGCATAAACTGCACCTCCCATAATGCATGCTGATTATTTGACTTGTCAGCACTCCACCACCAGGTGGCGCTGCACAGGTTCAAGGTGAAATTTGCCTGTAAAATCTCTATTTAGCTCCATTTTCATCTGCTACTTTTGCTACAGCCCAGTTGTTCTGGGAAGTGGGAATTTCCCAATTGCAGGTTGTAATTTTAAACAGGAAGTCAGGAATTCCCTGTTGGAAAGTGGGAGAGTTCAGAATTCAAGATGGCAGCCATCACCCCATCAACACCGAGTAAAACTAACTTTTTATTTTATTTATTTCACAGTTACTCAGTCGTACCTGTTTTTTTCTCAGTGTTTCTAAGAGGACATGTTAAAACGCTGTTTCTGTGCAGGAAACACCAGGTAGAGCTCAGGTAGTGTTTGTTAGCGGGGCTCAGGAACAAAATGTTTTGGTCAGAGTTAAAACGAGGATCACGCGGTCCTCTGTGAAACCAGTTTACCACTCCTGACCCAGAGGCTACAGAGGCCTGGACCAACAGAGACCAGGTCTACATCACCAGACAGGACCCGAGACCCCTCAGACAGTCCAGATCCAGACTGTAAGTCCTGTGGCTGGAAGAGGAACATCTGCAGGGACTTCCAGCTCCAGCAAACAGCTGAAGGCTAACAAACAGGAGCTGAAATGTAGCTTGGAGCTAACTCTGCTGACATAATCACCAGCTAATCAGAATGACGTCATGGAGGAGGGTTGTATTAATTATTTTAAAGCTTTTCTGTGTTTCATGGAAGCCCAGCCGGTCCCGGAGGGCTCCTCCCTGCCCGCAGAACCGTCTCCTCCCGGTATCAGATGAGCACATGAATCACGGAGCACGTGCACCGGGATAATGTGTCAGCACGTGTTGTTTTCCCTCTGGACAAACACCGACAGCTTACGGCGCTGATCCAGTTGTGTAAAAGGCTGCCGCTGGCCTCGGTGGCTTACAGTCACAGTGACCCAGCGAACCGAACCGAAGCCTCGGTGGTTCTTTTCACACACCAACAATCAGCAGTTACTTCCTGTTTCACGTGAACAGGTTAAAAACAGGTGAACTGGGTTGATTTAGCACTGTTTGAGCCGAGTTTCCTGTCAGAGCTAGCTGTTAGCCGCTGTTTGCTAACAACAACACGGACCCGACCGGAGGTTCGGCCCCGAGCTCGGTTCGTGTTTCTCCGGCCTCCTTACCGAACGTCCTCCGCTGCTTGAACGGCCTGTCGGACGGCATCTCTGTCGCAGTGGGTTCGGCTCGGGTTCGGTTGGTTTCTGCAGCCCGTCTGAAGCTCAACAGCAGCTCAGAACAAACAAAGCCAGTAAACTGAGGCTCTGACGTCACCCGTTACGTTTAAAGGGACGCATGTGTATGGCAAGCCGTTTTGTCATATAATAAGCGACGTAACTTTTCGTGTTGCTGTTGTTATGGCAGGCCGGTTTGATATACAATCAAATTGCTAATTATTTCATGATTGTGTCATTAAATCATGGTATTTTATATTTTACTTTTGAATACCATCATGTAAAAATGTATGGACTGCCGTTTTAGTCAAAATACAACAAAC